TAATGCTCGCGCAGTGCAAGACAAAATGATCACGATGATATTTCTTGAGGACCATTGATTTTGGGTTTAATTTCTAAAGAAAAAATTAGATTAGAGAGGTTGACTGGGAATCTGTCGGTGGAAACTAATGGTTGGTCAGTTGTAAACGATCTCTGGACAAGTTTCAAAGGCTCATTTGTGTCCATTGTGGATAAGCATGCCCCATTGATAACTAAAAAGGTACATGGTCTTACCTGTCGTTGGATGAATGGATAGATTAAACGTGAAATTCGTCAGCGTGAGTTCCTGTTAAATAAAGCTAGGCGTTCAAATTTGGATGCATCTCCGGAGACCCAGGGGTTGTGAGTCGATTTCAAGTTAAGGGCAGAAGAGCTCTTCTGCCCTTAACTTGAAATCGACTCACAGCCCCTGGGTCTCCGAGGATGATTTGGATGAAGAGTGGTCGGCGTTTAGGAGATCTCGAAATCGTGTTACAAAACTTGTCCGTGATTCAAATAGTAAATATAGCAGAGAACTCATTGATGAAAACAGTGACGATCCTAAAAAGTTTTGGAAAACCATTAAGCAGATCATGCCTGGTCAGAAAACAAAGCGGGTTACCAGTATTGATGTTAATGGAACTCAAATTTACGTTGACAAGGAAATTGCAAACAGCTTGAATAATTTCTTGACCAAAACTGTGGACAGGCTCGTTCAAGTTTTTGGACGATGTCTACCATCTGCACGATCGTTCGAATTTCTGATGTCAGGTCCATCGTACACTTTCCGTTTTGAGGAAGTATCTGTCGATTTCATCCGTGATCAATTACGGAAGCTCAAAACCAAAAAATCTGTTGGACTTGATCAGTTACCTGCACGTCTGTTAAAGGATTCAGCTGAAATAATTGCTAAACCGATGACTACTCTTATTAACGCTTCTTTGATTTATGGATACGTCCCCTCTGAATGGAAATGGGCACGTGTAAATCCTTTGTTCAAGATGGCAAATCAAATGACATGGATAATTATCGACCGATATCTGTACTACCGACCATATCTAAGGTTCTGGAAAGAGTAGTTCACACGCAGTTATATGATTTTCTGGCTGGAGAAAAGTTATTGAGTCCCTACCTATGTGGCTTCCGTAAGGGCCACTCTACTGATTTGGCTGTCTTATCATTCACTGACAGCATAACGCGCAATATGGATCAGGGTCTACTAACTGGTGCAGTTTTCATCGATTTGCGAAAAGGGTTCAATACAGTGGACCATGACCTGCTACTGGAGAAACTCACGATGGGATATGGAGTCACTGAAAAAGAGCTTGGATGGTTTAGGGATTACCTAACCGACAGACGACAAGTGGTGACAGTCCAAAGTTCTCTGTCAGACCCTTGTGATGTTGCTTTTGGTGTGTAGCAAGGTTCAATCCTTGGACCATTGTTGTTTGTGCTGTTCATCAATGATTTACCTACTACTATCAGCAAATGTAATATATTATTATACGCTGATGATGCTGTTGTTTTTGCAGCCCGCAAGGACATTAAAATCTTGGAGGAAATTTTGAATGCAGAACTAGATGAAGTGAATAAATGGANCCCCGACCATTTAACTTTTGAGGAGGGGTGGGTGATTTCTAGTCATCAAGAAATTTTTTTCCAGCAATCTGCTGTGCAGGATATTTTTTCCGATTTTTTGGTACATTTTTCTGTTACATTTGGGCTGCATGCAATTTTTTTCTTCCAGAAAGCGCTTGCAGGAAATTTTTTTTCAAAATCACCCACCCCCCCTCAAAAGTTAAATGGTCGGCCCCTTATCGAACTTCGTTCCAACAATGCATAATGCTCGCGCAGTGCAAGACAAAATGATCACGCTGATATTTCTTGAGGACCAGCAATGAGACGAACTTTTCACTCCTTTTTAAAGTGGAATAAATCCTAGCACCCTCTACAGGGCTGCAACCTTAATGAAAGATAAGGGGAACATTTATTAAAATCCTGTACCTTACGGTATTCGTGTTACACACTGAACTGCTCCAAATCCAGTCCCCCTCCCCCACCCCAAACCTCGTCTCTTCCCTCCTGAAAAGTCTGCAATAAAGGCTTCTGATGGCCAGAATTTTATCACAGAAATGTTAAGACGGGGTCTCCTTGGGAGATCAACTCAGTCGAATTTTTAGAAGCAAAATCATTCAACACTGCAATCATATTACCAAACAGAGTCCACTCTTTCCACAGAGATCGCGACTGGATTAACAAAAGCAAAGCATTTTTTTTCCAGATAGGTTACTTTTAATGCACTTTACTATCAAAATGTTTAAGAGTACTATACAATCGGTACAAAAATATTTGAGTTCGATCAACAGGTGTATGGCTTTTCAGTAAGATTTAACACCAGACGCTTTCTTAGGGCCGTTTTGGCGACAACTAAACCTATTTGTGCTTGCTATAAATACCTTTTTACACTTAAATAACCATTTGCGTCAACTAAACCAGTCAGACTTGTTCGTTCATTACCTATATACACTCAAAGGCTATTGTGGAAAAAGAATGCCAACGCAGAAAAGTCACAACAAATTTGTTATCCTCGGTAAGAATGTGTGGGTGTGTGAGAGAGAGAGACTGAAATGTTTTGGACAGAAGCTTTTGACAAGTAGATGGGGAGTCAGTTGACTCTTATGAGTGGAATACATATTGTTGGGAAAACAGCCCGGCAACTTGATTTGTAAGAACTAAGATACTTGGTTGCCCAGTTTTTCAACCAGGAAGGGAAGGTAAAAATTTTCAAACAATAACGAACCCGTTCTGTAATCGACGCTGTTTCTATAGCAGTAGTAATCTTTCTCCGCGCGACCTGAACCTGACACTCAACCTTTTCACTCCCCTAAGAGTGACCAGCACCCAATTTCTCCTCACAATATCAGCCCTGGAATCACACGTCAAGGTCATGAGAATAAAGGAAATGATCATAAAGTAAAGAAGCTCTTGATTATTCAACAAATTCTCCTTGTCAGCACCTTGGGAAATGTATGGAGATGTATGAAGAATATGCATACTGATGTGTTACGGTGTTAAGTGTTGAACGCTGCATTCCTCTACGAGAAGTTTTACACCGATACAGTTTCAAATTCGTCTCATGAAGTTCTGTGCTGTTCTTCGATGATTAAAAATGAGCTGATTCACTCTCACTGTATTGCAATGTTTGCATATATACACTTTACTTATTTCAGTTACCTGTGAGTGAGTACAAGCCTATAATATGTAGACATGTAGAGCTCAAATCATGGTCTTGTCTATCTTTCCTATCTTTCGTTATTCTTTCTATTTGCTACATTTCCGGCTCTAAGAAGGTAATTAAAAAAAAAAGAGCTTTAACACAGTGGATGTACATGTAAAAGGCTTCTTTTCCACCCCCAAATTCCACTCCTACATTCCATAGTACCCATCACGTGGTTCAAAGAGCTTTCTTAGTTGGTAGGTCTGTGGCAAGTGATTTGGATTTGTTTGAATCAGTAGTTTGTTTGACATTGTGCAGTATCATCAGTCCGTGATCTGCCATGCGCCAAGCATCTCGGTCTGTAGACTCATTTCTGATGTGGATTAACACTTCATCCAAGCCAAGTTCGGTAATTTCGTCCCTGAGTGAAAGGAGAAAAAAAAAAAATTAAAGACAAACAATCAGAGCAAGTGCTTTTCTTGGGTTCTGTTTCCTAATCAATACTATATCAAGCAGACACGTAAGGGGAATAAAGTAAAATATTAATTAGGGGACTAATAGTTGATCAAATACCAAATTCTCCAAACTAACTTCATAAAAATAGTATGGGAGACAGTAAGGAGAATTATTAATGAGATCTCGGGAGTGGAAAGATTAAATGCCATTCTTTCCTGTCACTTCCTGTGGAACCAGTAACTGAAGGTACGTGAGCCACTAACGATCACTTTGACCTTGAAAGAGCCTTTCTCCCACGGTTTTTCTCTAATTTTTCCTCAACATCAAGGAAACGCGATTTACTGAACTTTTCGTGCAAACTTTCGTTGGGAACGAGTCTTAATACTATGGTAGAATATACTACACTTCTTTTCGTGCACACCACTTACTTGTTCTCGTGTGAGTCTATCATGGCCAGGATAATCTTGGCCACTACATTCTGTAGCAGAGGATCCAAGCTGTAGGCCAACTCCATCAAACAAAACTTCAAGTTCTCAGCCTCAACAAGTTTCTGACAGGCCTGAAATTATGAATAAACATGGTATAGTTTGTTAGGTAAACTGTGAAGGCGCTTTAGTTTGACATGTTTTAGTAACTTATTCTTTCATTCTTTCACCCTTTGACGCCTAACGTTGCCTAGCATCTAATTTCTACTGACAACAACATCGTTGAATCACACATCAACGTCTCGAGAATGAAGGGAATGATCATTAACGAAAGAGGCTCTTGATTGTTAATCAAATTCTCCTTGTAAGCACCATAGAAAGTGTATAGAGAACAGTATGAAGAATATGTACACTGATGTTTGGGTGTTAATGGTTCAAAGAAAAGTTAGTCGAACGTTTTGGTCATTACTACCCCAACGAAGCTTAAAAATAAAATAAGAATTAAAAAAAAAACAAAAAAAACAGTTAATGCACTTGAATATAATCCATTTCAAACAGAACGTTTTAAAAAATTATCCTATGGTATGTAAACTTGTCGTTTATCACACCGATTTGCCCACAGAACGTCATCGTCTCGTATCCCCAGTATTCAAAGATGGTTACATCGAAAGGTAAACTGATAGGAAAGCACAGTCTAATCCTTTGATGTGTGCGGAATTTTTTCGATTTTTAACTGAAACTTCAATCTGTAAATTTCAAGATTACCTATCGCTGAACTTTGTACAGACAAGTCGTATCTTTGTTACTTACCAGCTCACTTTCAGCGTAATAAAGAAT